GCAACATATTCACAAGTATCGGAAATTTTTAAAAACTTCAAATGTAGACTTTATTTTTTAGTTTCTTTTTGAAAATCTGAAAGATTGCTGAAAAACCTCATTTTAGTTTCGTAGTGTAGTTAGTGAGAACGAAATCGGGCAAAACGATCTCATCCTTGAGGAGAATCAATGGACCGGTGGGGGAATGATGCCATTTCATATCCACCTAGTAACGAGATTTGTTTTAAAAGAGCTTTCATTTTGGATATTAAATATCGTATTTTCTCTAATAGTAGTGCACCCCGGCAAGCCGAGTTGATGGCGATTTTACGGTTTCCAAGCTTTTGCAGAAGCTCAACACTCAAATCCCCCACAAGATCTCATCGTCAGCTACATTTTCCGACCCCACATCGATAGGTTCTGATAAGCGGTTTTTGAGATTTCGAGGAATTTAGACGACGCTTAGGGTGCACTACTATTAGAGAAAATACGGTAATCAATAAATAAGCTTTTGAATGAGAGGTGTACTACTATTAGAGAGAATACGGTATCTAAAGATGAAATGGATCTAAATATAGCTTTCGTCAGAATAGATTTATCAAAAGAAAGCCTGAATCAGGATGAAATTCTTCGAATAAATGATCAGTCAGCTCCTGTGAACCTGCACTCCCTCACTACTTGATTGTTATAGCCGAAAGACTCCAAAGCGAGATAACACGCCAATTGAACCATGGAAAGAGCTGAAAGAGTTAATTGAGAAGGAAACTATGCTGAAAATCATTGTCAATGTATCAAAAAGTCTTTTGGTTACATTTTCTTGCTTTTACGATAGAAAATCTAGATAGTTTTGTTCTAAGTTGGTTTAAAGTAAGATACTTGAAGTTTTCTTCTAGATAATCTAGACAGCTTGGTTCTAAGTTGGTTCTAAGTTGGTTTACAGTAAGACACTTGGTCTTTTTTTGAAATTCTCACCTAAAATCCATTCTGCACGGTCCTTTAACTTGTACTCGATAATTCACCCAAACAGTTCCATCCGCAAATCATTAGGAAAACATTTTTGAATGGAGATGTGTGAATTCTCGGCCGATTTACTACAATAAATACAGTGTTCGGTTTCCAGATTTGTCAAGAATCTAGAAAACTCAATTGATATCGTCAATGATCTTGTTCACCTCTGAATTGAGTGACAGATTGTACTCTGCAAGGGTTGGAGATGCTCGTATTTGAGGGGCTGATCCACCAAAATTCAGTGACATAAATGTCCATGTCGAAGTCGGAAGCAAGTTCATTTACCGCATTCACTTCTTGCACCCAAACCTTGAAACTTTCTGTAGAAACTTTCTAGAAAAGAGTCAGATAATTTTAGAGAGAGGACTAGATACTACATAAAATTTACTAGTTTAGCATAAATTTTATTTACCTACTATTGTCTACTGTCTACTACCTACTATTTACGTACTACTACGTACGTAAACAGTTTATGTTTACGTTTGTCTACCTACTACTGTCTGTCTACCTACTGCTGTTTGTCTATCTACTACTGTTTGTCTATCTACTACTGTTTGTCTACCTACTACTGTCTGTCTACCTACTGCTGTTTGTCTATCTACTACTGTTTGTCTACCTACTACTGTCTGTCTACCTACTGCTGTTTGTCTATCTACTACTGTTTGTCTACCTACTACTGCTTGTCTACCTACTAGGTTGGTGCAAATGAAATTTCGTTTTTTACAAACATTAAAGTCATCCAAAATTTTTTTAGATAACAATTTATTTAAAACAATAAGCACCATTATTATCTATGACATCCCTCCAACGTTGCTTCAGATTGCGGATCCCCTTCTCAAAGAACGCTTGATTCTGTGATGCAAAGTAGTTGGTCACCCAATTTTCGACTTCTTTTGCATTCTTAAACTGGCAATTCTCAAGGGAATGTTGCATCGATCTGAAAAGGTGAAAATCGGAGGGTGCTAAGTCTGGACTATACGGCGCATGTGGTAAGACCTTCCATCCTAGCTTCTCTAGTTCCTTACAAGAGGTTTTTGCCGTGTGAGCTGGAGCATTATCACGGAGAAAGTTGATAGTTGAGGGATTTAGGCCTTTTCACGCAAAAATTTCGTCAACCTTCTTGGAGTTGTTGAATAAAATAAGATGAATCGACTGTTTTTCCGGGCTCTAATAATTCAAATGAACAAGTCCATTGATATTCCACCAGCAAGACAACATCACTTTGCGCCCATGATAATCCGGCTTTGGAGTTGGAATTGGCGCTTGACCTTTGCTCAGCCATTGCCTTTTTCGAGAAGTATTATCAAAGTGAATCCACTTTTCATCCATCGTCAAGATATTCTCAAAAATGGCTTCCTTTCGACTTATGGAGCAAGATATGGCTGATCGAAACGCGTGCTCCCAGATTCTCAACACTCAATTGATGTGGAACCCATTGTCCATTACGATTTGTCTTTCCAATTATTTCCAAATGGCGTACAATTGTTGAATGATCACATTGGAGATGTTTGGCAAGTTCTCGTGTTGTTTGCATTGGATCAGCTTCAATTAATTGTTCCAATTCATTGTTGTCGATGGCTGTGGCACGATGTCCATGCGATTCGTCTTCAAGGGATTCATTACCATCTCGGAATTGGGCAAACCAGAGCTGGCATGATCTTTCGGTGATAACCTGTTCTCCAAAGGCGGAACAGAGATCACGATGTGAATCAGCAGCGTTTTTGCCCATTTTGAAGTCATAGAGAAGACACGTGCGCAGAACATACTTTTGATCCACCATGATCTAAAGCAAAAATCAATTAAAAAGTGAAAGCTCTGACTTTGAAAAAATGCGAAAATAAAGTAAATATCCAAGAGTACAAATGCACAAAAGAACATCAAATAAGCTCTTCAGATTAAAAAAATAAGAACATTTTATATCGACCGAAATTTCTTTTGCACCAACCTAATATTACTGTTTGTCTACCTACTGTTTGCCTACCTACTACTGCTTGTCTACCTACTGATATCTACTGTTGTCTAATATTTATATCTTTAAAAACTATAGCCTAACTAGGGAATGATGACTCAAATTGGTCTTTTAATTCGCGTTGTTGGACTTGTTGTTGTTGACGTTGTTGGAAAATATTGGACCACTTTTCCCATTAGCAATCTAACTTTGAGCTCAATTTTCTTGGTGTTGGGCTGTTCAATTTAAATATTCTTGATATCATTAGATGCGCCTCTGTAGGTATAAAAATAGCGTCTATTTTGTGTGACTTCTAGCTAAAGCCATCAATGATCACTCACCTCAATCCAGACTTCAACTCCCGTCTCACTGGGTGTCTTGAAGGTCTTATAACTGTCTTTGAGCTTCTCAATGATTGTTTTATCACTTGTACAATGTGATTCCTCTTCTAACCAAGATCCGCCAACAATTTGCGATTGTTCTTCCGAGGGAGCATCTCATTTTCCTAAATTCCATTGAATCAAAATAAATTTACATTCAGCATTTAAACCCCGAACTTTGTCTTTTAAAAAGCGGGTTCTGGTAAACGAAGAAACCGTGCTAAAAAGCACAAAATACAGGGTTATCACGTTAGTTCACAGCACTCTGGTTAAAGGACTTAAAAAGATTATTGGGTTGGATGGGTTAGTGGAGCAATAGATGGGAAATGATTTGGGATGAGAAATGAGGATGGGTTAGTGGAAATGAAAAAGATCTGTTCACCCACTGGTGAATGAGATTTGAGTGATGGAATGACATCGTTCATTTCTCTCTTTTCACTTCTTTCTTCATTTCCCTCTACCTGACGATAACGTTCTCTCAAATTGTTGAGAATCATGTTGTTCTGGGTGTACAATTTCCAGTAATAACTCTAAAAGGGACAAGTAAATGGATGGATTTAGAGATTAGAGTAAATGGATTCTAAGACCAGTTTGTTTAACTAAGATATCTTTCTCAAACTAGGCTTATCCAACTTCTCCAACTATCAGTTTCCATTTGATCAACTCTTTTAAGTTGAATCTTTTGATTTCAACTATCAGTTTGTTTAACTAAGATATCTTTCTCAAACTAGGCTTCTTCAACTTCTCCAACTATCAGTTTCCATTTGGATCAACTCTTTTGAGTTGAATCTTTTGATTTCAACTACCAGCTTGTTTATCTAAGATATCTTTCTCAAACTAGGCTTATCCAACATATCCAACTTCTCCAACTATCAGTTTCCATTTGATCAACTCTTTTGAGTTAAATCTTTTGATTTCAACTATCAGTTTGTTTAACTAAGATATCTTTCTTAAACAGATAAATTTTAGAATAGCATTCTTTACTAGAAAAACTGTTTATCTTGTCTTTAAACGATTCCTTTCGACACGCTCAATTTTTCCAGAACAATTTTTCAAATTACCAGAACCTACTGATGAAAAATGAAAAATTGAGTGTGTCAGGAAAGTTTTCTTTTCAATTTGAAGAACGTTAAAGATAAATTAATCTTAAAAGATTATCCTCTAAGCACTGAAAGTCGAACTTTAAGCACTAAAAGTTGATAATCTTTAAATTTCTTCAAAGCTTACCTCAACATCAGTGGAATCATTTCTCGGATCATCCTTGCTTTCATATGTTTGTGCTATAAAAGTGGCTCGACTTTACGATTTTGTTGTTCTTTTGTCGGATTTTCTTCTGATCTCTTTCATTTTTGAGATCGATGTGACGAGCAATAGATGGGACATGGTTGAGATGAGAATGGAGAGGAGGGAGCGCATCCAATGAGTCAGTGCAAGTGGAACTCACATCCGAACAAAGTCTGAAGACTTGAGTGTCTAGGAAGGATTTTCAATTACAGTAAACAATCAATACAATTCAATTTACGTCTTGGAATGAAAGTAATTGAGAGAAAAGTTTTCAGGAAATTCTTAATTATTAGTGTTGATTGACGTAGATCGGGGTAATTATTGAGGAAAGTCTTTTGCAATTTGGAGTTTATAATTATAGTGATGGTTTAGAAATGGATGACTGCGTAGGGAGGAATTCAGGAAATGAACAAGAAGTCAGTCTTGGGTTTTGATCAGGCTTCTGGTTTGTCTGTCTTACACCCCAGTTCGGATGATTTGATGGGTTTACAAATTTTGGAGAACACTGCAAGGCAGAAAAACAAGATCGTCACTCATCAGACACCCTCAGCTAAAGGCACCTATTTAAAACTAAAACTTCATAAGCGACCACAAATGAAAAAAGATCTAATTGTGTCAATCAAAGCGCTGGAAGACGTCCTACGATGGAGTGAGATCCAGTCACTTTTGTTGAAGATGCGCTGGAAATTGATAAAGATAGGGAAGCCGATTTGTACTGCTGTACTCCTGGAGCCGAACTGCTGTATCTCTACAGATGTCCGGATCTATACAGAGCAGACTAGCTACCGTAAAATACTGTAATCGTACCCCCTCGTACAGTCGCGTAGTCGCAAAGTTTTTAAGTATTTCATTTTTTACGAAGCTTTCCGTAATATCTCTAATAGTAGCGCGTCCCTGTAATGAGGGCCGTCGCGTAGTCTAACTTTAAACGCATTTTCTTGTCACCTGTTTATGCTACAGTGTGCGTATAAGTACCAAATGAAAGCTGAAATTGAGGGCTATTTTTGGCTACCTAAGCGCGCATTGTTGCATAAACCAGTGTCGAGAAAACTCATTCCAAAGCTAGACTACGATAACACTCCACCGTCATTATGGGGTGGGGGTACTGGAGAGTATTGACGGTAGTTATTGCAAAAATAGACTCCTCTAAAACCTGGATACTATCGTATTTTCTATCATTTAACAAAATTTGGAAGTGCCTAGGCGATGCGCCTGAGCTACTATATCTCTAGATATCTTGCTGCGACCCACCCCCACCCCGGGCCTGCCTATTTTTCGCCCGTACTTTCAAGGTGAGTCTTTGGTATCAAAAATAGTTGAAATTCAGGGCTATTTTGATACCAAAGCGAGCATTGTAAGCATAAACCAGGTGTCGAGGAAAACTCGTTCAAAGCTAGACTACACAACACTCCGCACCGTCATTATGGGGGTGTGGGACTATTACAGTATTTACGGTAATAAGTTTTATAGAACTATCAAGATAAGTTTCCAGGTACACTTCAACCCTATCAACGTGAGAAGAGCTGGTTAAACAGATATCAGGAATGGAAGTGGATGAATAACCTGGTCAGGGAGATTGGTCCTAGAAAATTCTAGGTTGATAGAATTGATAAAATCTTTATCAAAGAAAGAACGAAAGCTTATTCTTTGCACGTAAAACCTTTTCCCTAGCTAGCGGTTGTTATAGAAAAGAAAATTGAGAGAGAAAACGCGTAAAGAGTAGTGAAGATTGAGATTATGAGCGAGTTGGTGAAACGAATGAGCAGTAGTGGAGATGGATATTTTGGGAGAAAAGAAGAAAATCTCCCGCCAAAACTTCAGAAAAGCGATGACGATTTGGATGAAGGCTTTCAATGGCCATAGAGAAAATGTATTTTTTTTGGTGAAATCTCTTCTAAGTGAAAAATGGCTTAAACGTGTAAGATTTGAAAGTGAAGTGAATTGCAGAAAGTAAGCAAGACAGGCCTCGGCGGGCTTCCACTGCATTTCTGCATTTCACAAAAATTGTCTAATCTTTCATTTGCTTAGGCAGTATGCAAAAGAGGTTTAAACATGAATTGAATCATATTGAAGTTCGAAATCTTATTAAAGTCTTTTGAGTACTTTTACTTCATTAATAGTCCAGGCTGCATTCTACCTTCCACAAAAGTGTCTAACCATTTGCCTAGGGAGTCACAGCATTTACTTAGGCGGTATGTGAACGGTAAGTTAACCTGAAATGAGTCTGATTGAAGTTATAAATCATATTATTAAGTATTTGAGGTATTTTGAGTATTTTTACTTCATTAATAGTCCAGCTGCATTCTCAATTTCACAGAAAGGTGTCTAACCATTTGCTTGTGCTCACTCATAAGTCGAGTCAGACCAGTTCTGGCCTAGCTTGGCTGGATACATTTGATAAATTATAATTATTATTATTATCGGTCTATTATTCTATCTATCTACAGTAACGCACAATTACCCTCACTCAGTTCAGATTCTCCTAGCTTCTGCTAGCTTTCTCTAGCTCTCCAGATTCACTCTAGCTTCTCTGGCTTTCTCTGTCTAGATTCCTCTAGCTTCTCTAGCTTTCTCTAGCTCTAGCTTCTCTAGCTTTCTCAGCTCTAGCTTCTCTAGCTTTCTCTGCTACTCCCAGATTCTCTAGCTTTACGAAGAGTCAGTCTAATTATTATCCAAAATGAATATTTCTCCTGGAATTTGTTTGGATTTGTTTAGAAAAGTTTCTGAAACTTTGCTAGAGCGTTGCCAAAGTTACGACACGCTTTCCTGCGGCGGAATTGCGATTTTCTTTTGTAACTAGTTTCAATGTCTCAAAATCTAAGAAAACCATCTTTATTTACTCATTTTGCCTAGAAAAAATAAATGAATTTCGGTTAGTGATTAAAGTTCAAAATGTGGATTTGAACTGAGCGAGTAATTGTAGTCACCCTTATACAGCTTATGTGATAGGCCAGCAATATTCCGATCGAATCCAGAGTCAGACTCCATAAGGCAGATCGATGTCTGACTTCTAACCACACAGCTAAAACTTATAATTTCTTTTATCTAAACTTTGAAAATGCTAAGTTCTGCTGTAAATGCTATATAAAATTAGAATCAAATCCAGCAACAGATAGCCAGAAAGGTGAAAACATTATTTTAGAACCTTTCTTTAAGTTCTATCAAAAATAAACAAAATAAAGTGACTCTATTGAGGTCTGAATCCTTGGAGTGAGCTGAGAGATTGAGTTATCGCCTGGGTGAAGCTAATTTGTGCTCGGGGCAATCAATTGCTGAGATCAATGATTGAATTTTTTTGAGGTAAATTGATAATCAATGAATCTGGAAAATCTGGCCTAACTTCTTAGTGAACAAGTAATCTAGCCTATAACTAGTAATCATTAGCTTAAGATAAACTCAAGTATAACCTTAAGTAATCGAATCGAATCTTAACTAGTAATCAATAGCTTAAGAGAAACTCAAGTATGACCTTAACTAGTAATCGAACCGAACCTTAACTAATAATCCACATAGCAGAGAAACTCAAGTATAACTTTAAGTAATCGAATCGAATCTAACTAGTAATCAATAGCTTAAGAGAAACTCCAAGTATGACCTTAACTAGTAATCGAACCGAACCTAAACTAATAATCAATATAGCTTAAGAGAAACTCAAGTATAACTTTAAGTAATCGAATCGAATCTTAACTAGTAATCAATAGCTTAAAAGAAACTCAAGTATAACTTTAAGTAATCGAAAGTAATCGAAAGTAATCGAAAGTAAAAGTAAACGATTTCAACTGGACTCAAATCGTTTACTCATCATCCATTTCAAAAAGAAAGTTTACTTAAAAATGAAGCTAAAAGTGAACTATGATACTTGAAGCATTCTCCCAAAAATAGCAAAATTTAAGGATCAAGAAAACGTTCCCATTCAATGACTCTCGCTTTTCACAGGTCGGTCATTTTCTTTACTCCTTCTTCAACCCCAAACATCTTTTCGATAAATGCCACAATGGATGCTTGAAAATTGCAATTCCGGCCCGGAACCCCCCCCCCCCCCCCCCCCCCCCCCCCCCCCCCCCCCCCCCCCCCCCCCCCCCCCCCCCCCCCCCCCCCCCCCCCCCCCCCCCCCCCCCCCCCCCCCCCCCCCGGGGGGGGGGGGGGGGGGGGGGGGGGGGGGGGGGGGGGGGGGGAACAACAATCACCCAAGACAACAACAATCTTAAGACAACAACAATCAATCAACAATATTAGGAACAACAAC